AAAGCTGCCACTGGCACCAACTCATTGTACCCAGACAAGCTCTGTCATGAAACAAAGCCCAGTAACCCTCCCTCTGCCAATGCTTTCAAAGTGGGATGCTCCACACCTGCTTGAGATGCTTCTGTTCATGCCCTCACCCTCATCTCTCAGGTTTCTTCCCGCCCAATGTATTTTTGGGTTGTTGATGAAGAATAGTCCTGAGGACTGTTTGCCAAGTCATCTCCCTCTTGTGCCCAGTGGATCCTGGTGGATGGAGGATCAGTGCTCCTAAGAACATGGGGTCCCTCTTAAAGGCGCATCAGTCCGAGGCAGCCCAGCTGTGACATTTCCTCATTTCAGTGGCACTGCAGCTGGAAGCAAATGGTTCCTGGAAGAAACCCTGATAAGAGGCAGCAAGTGCTTGAGGCCTACTAGCAGAGGAGTCACATGTTTGAATTTCCTACTCCATGAACAAAGCTGGCCAGGACTGACTCCTACAGGGGACCCACAATAAATCCGGAGACAGAATTTTTACAAGGGCATGTAGCGATGGGACAAGGGGGAATGGCTTTAAACTGAAAGAGGGGAGATTTAGATTAGACATTAGGAAGAAATTCTTTACTGTGAGGGTGGTGAGGCACTGAAATGGGTTGCTCAAGGAAGCTGTGAATGCTCAATCCCTGGCAGTGCTCAAGGCCAGGATGGATGGAGTCTTGGGTGATGTGGTCTAGTGTGAGGTGTGTCTGCCCATGGCAGGGGGGTTGGAACTTGATGACTTTAAGGTCCTTTCCAATCCTATTTTATGTGTCTATGATTTTATTTATCCCTGCATATGTTGCAATCCCAGAAGATGTGGGGAACAGAAGTGCAGCATAAGATGACAGCAAGTGATGGAAGGAGAAGAGATGAAGAAAGGCAGAGACTAGGAGAAGCCATGCATCCATGCACGCCCTCTTTTGCTTCACCATTCCTTGTGATCGCAGCTAAAAAGTGCTGTAGAAGCGCACAAGTGCTGGCAGTGTGCACAGAAAGATATTGTGAAGGGTGGTGGAATCCAGTGGGACACCAGCAAGGAGGATAAATGATAAATGAAAGTAACTAGTGAATGAGTAAAAGCAGATAATATTCACTACCAACATGGGCACTGCAGGGTTTCCGCATTTCACTGTCTTCCCTAGATGATAAACCAGACACATTCCTGATTGCTATAAAAATATCCTTGAAGATCTGGACATTCTTATCCCCATCTGGGGTGGAAGGAACATGGAGGAGCTGCCTTTCTGAGTCACAGTTTATTGGAAGCCATGTGTGCATGTGTGTGTGTATGGGTTGCATACATTTATGTGAAGAATAACCCCATAAGCCATCAGGAATGAAGGGAGCCCAAAGACATTTCTTTCTACTTCCAAAGTAAGCCTTGAAACACAACACTTAACTCCCTGACAGCTCTGCCTGGTGTGGAACCCAGATTGTGGGGTGCATTGCCCAGCCTGACAGACCGTGCTTTGGTGGTCGTCGCAGGGCTGGCATCCCAACCCTCGTTGCACTTCAAAGCACTGAAGCCTTCCTGAGCAATGTTTCTTCTCAGCCTGCAACATCTCCCCTCAGCTGTGGTCATGGCAGCAGCAGCAACCGCAGTGTGGGAGGTAACAGGCTTTCAGAATTGATTTATGGACATAATTATTCATACACGGAGGGATTTTCAGGCAAACATATGGGTTTGTAATGGAGGACTTTTCACATGGCCATCACTGCAGGGTTTTGGGACATGGTCCTGCATGTGGAAGGTAAAGCAGGGGTTAGCACAGGGCGTGCATGAGCTCCTGTTTCCCTTTCCCAACCTCAGCCCAAGCACGGTGGTAGCATGACACCAACAGAGGCTGCTGGACGCAACTTCTCAGTCAGCAGCAAACTGACAACCATTTTGTGGCAGGATCTGGCCTGTGTGTGACAGCAGCCCCCAGCTCCTGGCCAGAGTTTGCCTAACTGTGTGTTGTTCACATTAGATGCTCAGCCCTGCTTGGAGAAAGAAGAGGGCATTAAATACTCCCTGCCTTGTGGTCCTTCGTGTCATAATAGACAATATCCTGGTAGCACAGAAGCAGAGATGGAAAACTTTCACTTCAGTACTGGGGGGTGTATCTGAGCAAAGCAGAAGTAAAGGCGCTGCCTGTGCAAAGCTGCATCAAGACCCTCATTGTCTTAACCGGGAGCCATAGGTAGAACTGATGTCTCCATAGTTCTTGGTGTTGCAGATGCCAATACCAGGTGCACCTGGGGAGGGAAAAATAGCCCTGCATCTTGCTCAGTTTTTCTTTAATATAACCAACACTGAATACATGTGATTTTTGGATACATACCTTTCCCACAAATGCCTAAAGTACTTGAGTATTGCCCAAGAAGGAAATAAAAAGACATCTCACCCTGTTCATCTCATTCTTAATTTTTAAAGTCAGAATTTTTAGAATGTCTTGTGGAAACGCTGTCTTAGGGTTAAAGGTGATTAAATATAAGTGAAAAACTATTTAATAATACTAATTATGAACTATTTCATGAGGAGTGGTGACTCCTAGGAAAAATGGATATGTCTGCACAACTGGCTTTGGTGAGATGACATGGCACAAGAATTCTAGCAGCCTTATTACTTTCCATATCAGCCTTGCCTTTTCCCAGCATGGTGCAGGGCTAATGGCTCTGTCAGGTGAAGGTTACCCTGAACCTTTGTCTCTACAAGGTCCTAGAGCTGTCTTGATTCAGTTAATGCTACTGTTTCTATTGATGCAGTTGGAAAAAGAATTAGTATTATATTTAGATATATAAAGTGCTAAACCCATAAATTATATCAGTTATTTGAAGAAAAATACTTTATTCATTAAAACTAAACAACGCAGGTCTGATTCTGCTTCCACTCATAAAAACACTTCGGCACCATGGTCAAACAATTCCTCCAAACTCTGCAACTTCTCCATTTTTACAGCAGTGCATGGAGAAAATGGAAATGGAATGTGTTATACTAGAGAAATTACAAGTAAAATTACAGGCACAGAGCGTGCTGCTTACACAGGCCAATAAGCTGTGCGAATCTAGGCATATCTAGTTTTATAGTGACTCTCAAATAGCGATTTCACTGCCAGACATTGTAAAAAGTATATGGAAATTGTTCCACTGTGCGTTACCAGTGACAAGTTGATGCTAATAAACAGTGATGAGAAATTCTGAGGTTTTAAAAGAGCTTTATAATCCCGAGAAGTTTGAGAAAAGTTATTTTAATTAATGCGGTGCTTTGCTTCTTAAGCAGAACAGCTTTATTTGAATTTTGCTCATATAATCATTAGTGAAACTCTCCCTCATTGACTGTGTTTTGATGAATAAGGATATACCGGCTCGAAAGATAAATTTCTCAGGCAACTTGCAGTAAAAATGACCAGAAACGCCTCCGTTTGCACACACATCTTAATGCCCCCAAAGGAAAGAAAATCAATAGATGAATTACACTTTCAGCTCAAGTCTCCACCTTATTGTTAAAAGTCTCACATAAGAAGGAAAAAACCTCAAAGAGCAACGGCAAGCTACTTCCTCACCCCCTCGCTTTCAGCTGGGGGACTGGAAACATCCTCTGGCCATGGTGGAATAGGACCTCTTCTACCTTCCATGGTAGTCGCGGGTCCGCTGCGCGGACAAGAGGAATGCTCTAGGTCCCTGAAGGATGCTGGAGGCTTGCTGCTGGATGATGCGGGAGCAGGTCTGGAGCCTACCCGTCGAGGAGAGGAAACAGATCCTCCTGACCCACAGCAAACCCTGACAGCTCCTGCTTCCTTTCAGCCTCTGTTTTCTGCTTCTAGTTTGGATGCGATCGTTTTCCGCATCTGGCTGAATTACCGTCGCTCTTAGAGGCGCTCACCGGAACAGCTCATTTCCCTTGTGCAAAATGCCTGTTGCTGCCCTTGTCGAGACAGGGAAGATGCTTCTAGCGACAGACGAACAGCGGCTGAAGGGAAAGCTGGCTAGGGCCGGAGGGCCGGCGGCTGAGCCGCCAGTGCCGGCTCTCCGCAGGGAAGCACCCTCCAGCCCGCAGCAGACGCTCTCCCGCACGCCGAGCAGGGCCGGAAAAGAACGCCAGGAAAATGGCACCACAGCCCTGGAGGGCCCTGGCCACAGCCTCCGCGTGGATGTAAAGCCAGGACTGAAGAGAAAAAACATGCAGAGAGCCACACAGGGCCGGGAGCCTGTGCTGCAGGAAGGTTTCTTCTCTCCGAAGAAGAGTCCGAACTTGCGGGAGAGGTGGAAGAGAGGAAGGAAAATGTTCCTAGGACCGGTCCTAACCCCCTTGACACATCCCGCTCTCGGCGTGCAGCTCGATCTGAGCCTATTTGCTGCCCGGAGAGCACCCGCTGGTTTTCTGGCGCATCTCCGGGCTGACACTCATCCCTCGGGAGACACGCGGGCCGTGACGCAGTGTCAGGCTGTGGCGGAGCCTTGAGGGGGTTCTGGCTACTTGTGCCGGTCATGAGGAGCTGGTCATGGGGGGAGACAAGTACTGCCCGCAGGACACCTGGGCTCTTGGTTTTTTTTTTTAATTTTCCCTTTCTATTTTTTTTCCCAAATGCAAAAGAAAAAGAAACAAACCAGGTTTCAGTTCCTAACTGGAAGTAGCAGTCCTGGCAGGGTCCTCGGTAGAACCGGTGCCTCTGAGGCCCAGGATGCCTGGCTCTGCGGTCGCTCTTGTGCAGCGCCGGGCACGGCGGGTCCCGCGCCCTGGCGGAGCAGCCGCCAGCGGTAAGGCGGCGTTAGCTCGCTTCTCCTCCAGTTTCCAGACAGCTCCGTGTACCCAGAGTTGCGCACACCGGCGGTGCCCGCCCGAGACCCGCCTTCCCCGGGGAAAGCTGCCCCGTCGGGCCCGCTGCGACGCGGGGTGCCCCGGGAAAGTGGGGCCCAGCTCGCCGCCATCCCAGAGGCTGACTGCGTCCTCCTCCGGCCCCACGGCCCGCAGCGAGCCTCTCCTCGCTACAGCCGAGCACTTTCTCAGGACGGGAGTTTCGGAGTGGGGTCATCGAGTTTCCCCAGGAAAGGCGGGCGAGGGTCGGGCACGGCACGGCACGGCGGCGGGAAGCCGGCGCCAGCTTCCCGGCTCTCTCCCCTGTCTCCTCTTCCTCAGCCAGGGGCGTGGGACTCCCCGTGGCTCACCGGGAATCTGTCTGCCTTCTGGGGGCGAGGCTGGGGGCGAGCGGGTCCCTGGAGCCCCCCGAGGGCAGGTTCCCGGCGGGGCACGGCTGGAGATCTTCCTTGCCCTGGAGCTCCCCGGGGGACACCACGCAGTCTTGCTCCGGGTCATTGCTGTTGCCCGCCCCTCGCTTTTTGTCCTCTTCCTTCTTCCACTTCATCCGCCGGTTCTGGAACCAGATCTTGATGTGCCTCTCGGTCAAGTTCAACATGACAGCTAGCTCCACCCGCCGCGGCCTGGAGATGTACTTGTTGAAGAGAAACTCCTTCTCCAGCTCCAGAAGCTGAGCCCGGGTGTACGCCGTCCTCGTCCGCTTGCTCTCCTCCGGCTCCACCACGTAGGACCCCCCTGTAGAGAAAGAAGGGACAGTCAATCCCGGCCAGCCCGGTCTCCCATCGGTCTGCGGGGCCGCGACCCTGCATCCCTGTGCGGAGCGAAGAACAAGCGGGGGAAAGCGAGTGGGGTGAGAGGTGCCCTCGGGGAGGCCCCCGGCCGGGCACAGTAAGGGGGTGCTGGTGGAAGCAGTTGCGACTGCTGCTATTTTCTTTTATAATAATTTAGGGGGAGGTTAGTAGTAATTTGGTGGAAGTTTTCAGGGAAGAGCAGTCGCTCAAACTGGGATTGACGCTCAAGCGCCGCGAGTCGCATGTTGCTGAAAGCTCCAAAGAGCTCCAGGGCCTGGCAACTGCCAGAAAAAAAAAAAAACAAAAACGGAAAAAAAGAAAAAGGTGAAAAGAAAGGGGGAAAAATAAAATTAAATGAAAATTAAAATAAACACATTCCCCAACAGCAAAACGGATCCGCTCCCCCCAAAAAAACTTCAGCCACAGAACAAAACCAGGCACAAAACCAAAGCTACAATAATACAGAAAAATACTTTCTTTTGTACACACACACAAGCAACCAAATTAATAAGAGTAATAATAATAGTTACAGTAGTAATAATAGTAATAGTGACAATAGTAACATTAATAATAATAATAGAAAATACAGCCAAATCTCATCCCTGCAGTACGGGACCCGGAAGAGAAGCCAGCCGGCCAGCGGCGGTCCGGTGGCAGTGCCGCAGCCGGGCAGGGCGAGCGGGCAGCTTCTCCCCAGTGGGCCTCGCCGCGGGCACCCGTAAGCACAAGTCTCAAAAAGGTGGTGGGAATCTCACGGAACAAGAGTTTGGGGGTTCCTTACAGGATATCGCCATCGAAGAGCCCTGAGCCCGCGGAAACTTCGGCCTTTTCCCGGCTGCGGAGACCCCCGTGAGAAGCAACGGGGAGGGCCCCGGCATGGCTGCAGGGACGGGACCGGGACCGACAGCAAGACCGCAGCCCTTCCGTTTTGTCAGGTTGGTTAAACCTTGGATCTTCCCTTCCTGTAAACAGCGGCAGCAGCGGAATGGCCGTTGGCACGGCAAGTGTGGGCACGTGTGGAGCCGGGAGGGCGCTGAAATTCCCGACCACTATGGCCAGGGCCTGGAGCCCACCTGGGAAGACATTCGGTGGCGACAACGTCTGTAGGAAACAGTCGTTGAAAGAGCCAGATCGAAACAGCCATTTCAAGACAGCTACACGGCTCTTCGCCTCCCGTCTTTCTATTCCCACGGGTTTATATGTACATAATGTTTATAAACAGAAATATAAACCTCTGTATATAAGCTTATGCGTATATATATATTATATATATTTAAATGCATGTATATAGAATCATAGACTCGTTTGGTCTTGAAGGGGCTTTAAAGAACGAGTCTAACCCCCTGCCACGGGCAGGAACACCTTCCGCTAAATCAGGTTTCTCAAAGACCCATCCAGCCTGGCCTTGAACACTTCCAGAGATGGGGCAGCCACAGCTTCTCTGGTCAACATGTGCCAGTGGTTCAGCACTCTCATAGTGAAGAATTTCTTCCTAATGTTTAATCTAAATTAGACATAGAAATGTTTATATACAGAAATTTGTTTATAAATATAAGCCTCTGTATATAATTTTTTTTGTAAATATATTAAAATATATATTAAATCGATGTTAAAATAAATATATATGCATTAAATGTTTCTAAATATAACACTGTGCAAGTGCATGGATCTGAAAAAATAGCTCTGTTGTGGCAAGGTGAATCAGTGCTACCAGGAAGGTGGAACGCCAGGATCTGCCCATCGGAAGGCCGTTGCAGACCTGCTCCCGCAGCTCACTGGGCCGTGCTCCCGCCGTGTCCTGCCTGTGGGACCGGGTGAGCCTTAGGGGAGCGGCCGGCAGCTCTCGGTCCAGCGGAGCCAGGGGCCGGGCACTGCGGGTGGCACCGGGCCGGGTTTGCCACGTCCTCTCTGGGCGCCTTTCATCGGCAATAGCAACACAAAGCCCAGCAGAATCCATGAGAGCCTACATCCCAAGGGTGTCCATAAAAGCTGAAATCCTTGGGCTATAGAGCTTACAGTATATAGAATCTGTGATTTCTACATTGCAGAACCCCCCGGGACCGGCCACGGCACAGCGCTGGGCCCCGCGCACCGCGGTGGTAGCGGCCGCGGGTGCCAGCACACCCCCGGCGTGCACCACGCAGAGCTGTGGGACTGCCTTTGCCTGGACCTCCCGGCAGAGCTGGAAAGAACAGGGCAGAGTTTTCGGGTGTTGGGGGAAAAGTTTCAGTTTGCTGATTGTCTGGTCATCTGGTAAGGACACAAAGAAAAAGGGGTCGGGTGTCTGGCGCTTTCTCCCATCCGACCTTTTTAAATATATTTATATATATATTATTCCAGAAATTCATTCAATCCAAGGAAAACGATCTGATTTTTCTCTCCGCAGGCACAGTTCCTGCTGCCTAGTCGAGCGTGGGGCAGCATTCCTCTCCCCTTCCCGGCTGTTGAGCTTCCGTGCGGGTAGGGGACCGCCGCCTGTCCCCCTCCCTGTCCCCTCGATCTAAACCATGTAATTCCCAAATTATTTCATGGTGATTTTAATACTCCGGTCCTTTTTTCAACTGTCTATTTGAACAAAGCCATTGATATAATATTTGCCGTATAGGCGTGACAAAGGCGCAGGACACGATAACATTGTGCAGGCAGAGACAAGAATATTGTTGGGCAGCGGAACTTTCTGTCTAGATAGAGTTTCTTCCCCTCGCTGGCAGCTCTGTTTCGTTTGTGCATTGTTTCCCCTGCCCTCTGTTTTCACTTGGAAAGGTGCAATTACGACTAAAACCCACCGGGAAGCGGGAGAAGGTGGGACAAGGAGTCTGGGAGGAAAATGGGCTCTGCCGCAGGGGAGAGCAGAGAGGCAGCGGTGAGGGGCAAGGTGGCTGCCCCGCAGTTTCAGGGCTGCTCCGTGTCCTTTGCCGTCCTGCCCGCCGCTTCCCGTCGCCTCCATCTCGCCGGTGTCTCCCGCTCCCCATCCTCTGCCCCAGCGAGGAGCCCACCGCTCCCGCGGAGAGGCTGATCCGCGGACCCACCCTGCTCGGAGAGGCAGCAGCGCCTGGGAAGCGTTTGCACGTCGCCCCGACTTGGGGACAATTAGTTAATTGGTGAAAAATAAGCTGTTAATAATTGCTGACGGCTTGGGCAGCTCAGGGAGCGGCCCGGGGAACGGCTCCAACCCCGGGTTCAACCCGACGGCGGCAGCAGTGGGTCTTGAAGGGCTGACAGGGGGGCAGTAGCATCCCAAGGAAGTTACCCTCCAGTACCTCTTCACGCTACACCCGAGCAGCGGGATCAGGACCGGTGCAGGGGAGGGCGAGGATATAGGGAGGAGCGGCGGGATAGGGGCAGAGGGATTCGGCGGGACTTACCGGTCCACTGTCCCTTCCAGGCGTGAGATTTGGTGGACTTCATCCAGGCAAAAGGCACCTGTACTCGGGTCTCTTCTATCGCCCCCGTGTCCGCGCCGTCTGCGAAAGGCAGCGCGTCCTGGTGGAGAGGAGGCAGATGATGGTGGTGGTGGTGATGGTGGTGAAGGTGGGAGACCCCGGCATCTTCTGTGATGGGGGGCACCTCATAAGGTGAGATGTCTGGAGGGCTGCCTTGCTCGAGAGCCCCTAAGGCGCTGGGGTAAGGAGTCTGCTGCTGCCTGCCCATGTACAGGCAGGCGGGGGGGCCGGGGCTGTAATCCTGTGCCGGGGCTCTCTGAAATGCGCACGACTCCTTATAGAGCTGTGCCGAGGCGTAATACTGCTCCTCGGTGTTCATGGCGAGCGGGACCGGGGCGGGGGGTCTCGCAGCTTAGAGACACATAGGGTTGCTCCCGCTCCCAGCTCCCGGGATGCCTCTTTGACAGCTCGCCGCCCCGATGGGCCCCGCCGCCCGCCCGGCTCCCGCCGCCTCCCCATAGGTGCCGCTCCCCACGTGAGCCCTCCCGCGGCCCTCCGGGGCGGGGCGCGACCCATAAGAGGCCCCCGGGGTGGCCCTGGCCCAGCAAGCCCCTTCCCAGTGGCCAGGCAGGCCCCAGGACCCCCTGACCCCGCCAAGGGGTGCCGCTCCCTCCTTTGGGGTGAGAAGCCCAGCCGCTCGGGTCTTGAGAGGATTGCCCCGACGTGCAGGGCTCGCCGGGAGAGGTAGCCCCGAAACCCCTTTTGCCTCCACGGCCCGCTTGGCCAGGGGCTGCTCTTCTCCCAGCCACCCTTCCCTCATCCGGTCACCTCTTGGGGAGGGAAAACCTCGGGAAGAAAAGACTCCTGAAGGGGTTTGGCGTCAGGGCACTTTTGGTTCCGGGAGCATCCCGTGCAGGGATGGAGGTGTCCGGGGACGGGCAGGGTGCGACAGGTGCCAGCCAGGGTGCTGGCAGAGTGCGCCCCCTCCCTCGGGGGGACCTGTGTGCCGGAGGCCCATGTGCGGGTAACGATCGGCTTTCAGCCCGCTCCCGCCCTGGCCTGGGGGATGCGGCTGGTGGGGACCACAATGCTATCACCAGAGCGAGCGATAGGCAGCGGATTGTTTGTCCAAGGGGTAAATTTGGGAGCCTTCCCCGCGGTTTGGGCTGCAATGTGTTGACCCTCGGAGATAATCTGCTCCGAGCTGGTGCCGGTTGACTTGGTGACGAGGCTATGAGGAGGCGGAGAACTACCGAAAGGGACAAAGATCATTTCCCTGCCTCCCTGCTCTCTGCGCTGCCGGCGCTGCCGCCGCTCTCGCTGGTTTGGGGGCAGGCACGCTTCCTATACGCTTCTCCTTTCACTGCCTCTTCTCCCGGCTCCTTCCCCGGCATCGGAGCTCCGGCCGCCGCCGTCGTGGGGCACACCCGCTGCTAAGTCTATGGCGGGTGCAGGGAGCAGCGGGGCGGGCCCGTATGCCAGCGGCTCGGCTCGGTTCGGTTCAGTTCGGCTTGGCCAGCTTAAACTCGGCCGGGCTCTGCGCGACTTGGCCAGTGGCGATGCATCCTCTGATTGGGCAGGGCAGGAGACTCCCGGTAGCTCGCTTTTGCGTCAAGTTCCGTGGGATCATAAACCCGCCCAGTCCATTACATTTAAAATGACCCACGCAGGTCCCCCATCTCTTAGAAAGCACACTGATCCTTTGATTCAATATTGAGCCATTAAGCGATTGCTTTCTCAAGCCATTTAACAGCAGCTCTTATGGATAAATAAACAAAAAAGGCTGTAAACCAATTATAGTGCGGATAGTGAAAAAGTATTTTATTAGCGGGAATTACCGATAGACATCGCTGCTGCCGGGGCTCTCCCGGCCCGGCGCCCTCCCTCTCCGTCCCCTGGCAAGCCCGGCGGGTACACGGCCTGCCCGGGGCTCGCAGCCTGTGTGTGCCCGGGGCGGGTGCACTGAGCCAGGCGAGCTACTTTATCCGTGCTCCCCTCGCTCGGCGCCTCTATGCATGCCTGTGATGCCTCCCCGGGGTTTCTGGGCTGGCACGGGTGTACTTTGATCAGGAGACTCCTCGGTCACCGACCCCAGCTCAGCACCCTTTCTCCAGAGATCTGCCCCCCGAAGCATTTACAGCCCCGATTTTTCCACGGGGAACCGGCGAGGACAAACAAGCGCAAGGCCATAAAACCCAGAGCAAATTGATTCATCTCCATGGAGGACCATTACCCGGTGTCTTAATGCAGTCCTCTCTCTATAACGAACGTCTCTAAATAGAGCAAACACTTGCCTCTCCAAAGCAAATGAATTTCGTATAATTTAGAGCTAATTCTCTTTCATTCTGCCTGCGTGAGCCCGCGATAAGGGCACGCTTTACCGTGCTAACAACAAAGAGGAGAGCAGCAGTGCAGGAAAAGGGCCCCGCTGGGTATCCCGGCACTGGGGACCCCAGCCAGTCCCCAGCGTGGTAATGTCCAGCAGCCGGGCCACGGGCTGCCTCTCCTCCCGGGATACAGTCACCGAGGTCTGGCTGCAAAGCCCCTCCACTGCTGGGGTTTCCCAGGAGAAGCTTCTGAGCTGTGAGTGGGTCCTACCCCAGTGTCTGCTTGGTGTGGGAAATGAACGATGGAAGAGGCAGGTGGGAGCGATGGGAAGAATGGGGCTCTACAGACACTGCTATGTTGACTCCAGGCAAAGGTCCAGTGACCCCATACTCTCTCCCTAAATGATGCCCATACACATCATCTTTGGCAGTTGCAGCAGCTGTGCATATGAGACGCCTCATCGAGATCTTCTCCCAGACTCCCAGAATTTTCTACTCCAGGTATTTCCTGACGCGTGAGAAAGTTACAGTCCCGTTAATTCTTCCACACCTTAAGTCTCCCGTGGAACCTCATGCAAATCTTTGCCTCCCACCACCTTCTGGTAAATGGTTCCCCAGATTCTCTGCTGCTGTGTGAGGCATTGCTGCTTTTTGCTCACCTTGCACCTGCCTGCATTTAATCAGTCCTGATTCTCCAACTAGAAGAGCCTTGAAATGGGTAGGGACAATGTAAGAAATTAAAAGATGCAGCCTTGCCTCTTTAGCTCATATGTGGTCACTGTGAGGCCAGTAGCACTTGAACGCTTTGAATAGTGAGCCCAGGAACCGCTGCACACATACTGTAATCTCACAGCTGGGGAATTCCCCTGTCCTAACTCCTCAGGTCTCTGGTTTTGACAGCCTCAGGATGACAAGAAACTTGACCATCCTCAGTCTATAGGTAACCATGCAAAGAAAAGACGGTTGATTAAATGTGTTTCTTCACACCGATACATGTACAACAGAGATTTAGCCATTGAAACCAGAAAAGCAAAGGACATGTTGTACACCAGAATAAATTAACAATGGGTTGGGAAGTTTCTCCCTACCCTTAAATCTGGCTGGACGTATGTTGCAGTTCAGCTGGAGGTCCTGTGCTTTATGTGTGGTAGGAAGTTTTTATGGACTGTAGAAGTCCTCAGAGATCCTGGGGATATTTATGGCTACCATGTTTGGATCACCCAGCTTCATCCATGGAGCTGGAAATCTCACACTTCCAGCTCTGTGTTGTCCGATTTCCTCTAATGGCACTTTACTCCTTGAGGTGACTTTTTGGGGCTACTAAATGCTGTAATTATAGATGCTGTGAAAATCTACTTAGAAGGTAAATCTTTATAGCAAGTTTGTTATTCCAAGACATTAAACAAAAACGAATCCATGGGTCTGTATCAGTAATTGAAGGATGATGGTGATAGCAACAATGTTAAGTAGAACAGGCTGGTTGTAAGTACCCTCAACATCAGCACAAGAATCCAGATATTCAAGCACCAGTAACAAAGGTTCCAGACACTCAGCTGTTGCTGTCCTAAAGTAAGATCACACAATAACCACATTGCAATACTTCAATTACCGTGTTAGATTCAAATATGTTTCAAGGACTTGTTAGGATCTGATTATATTCCTGTAGCTTGTTTGCCTGACAGAGAAGAGGTTGTCTGCACAGTTAATTCTTGTTCTGTATTATATAATGCCTAAAACTTTACAATACAATATGACTCTGGGAGCTCAGGCGTTTGGAAAACCAAGTCACATACCTAATGTCGTATCTACGTGGTTTTGAATGTATACTAGCATATACAACATGCTTCTTGAAATTTAATGGCTTTTTCAATGATGTTACCTTTAAATGATTAATTTAGGAGCTTAATGTGAGTCACTGTATTTTGAAAGTCTTGTCCACTTCGTCTCCAGCGGTGTCTGGCAGACATCACTGCAGGCTGCTGAGATCAGTGAAATGTAAAACCACCTGGACATAGCACAATTTTTTTCCCTAGGAAGGGTAGCAGGACTATTTTGTTTGCCTTTTGATGCAAATAATTTGTGAACCCCTATTAAATTAGTTGCATTCCTTGTTATGACTGATGGCTGTTTCATCATTCCTCCCACCTCCCTGACAATCTAACTAGAGTGTAAAATAATGAGTATAGTTCAGTCACACTTCCTTATAGTAATCTGGCTTGATTTTCTATATCGGCATAATATTTGATGACTTCTCAGTGCTCAACCACTTTTCTGCAATCTACATTTAGACAGAAAAGAAGTATTGAAGGTGAGTTTAAAGTAGTCAAAATAATCTCTTTTTCAGTCCCAGACATGATGAAACCAATACGGGGAAACTGTATCCATGGCAAGGGCTGGCAGCGGGAGAAGTTGACTGAGAAACAGAGCTTTCTCAGGGATTGATTTTTAACACCACTCTACCCCCCCCCTCCGGCTGTATCTAGCAGAAAGGTAACCTTTCACAAAGCTAGTTAATAATCAATAACCATGTGAAAACAAAGCTGTCTTTCCCTCTTAGCACTAACGATAAAAACGAGAGCATGAACTATTCCACCTGCCTTAAAGTAACACTGGTTCATCAGCTTTGTTTTTTCGGCAAGAAGCTTTCTTGGTTTCTGAGCAATTCTTCATTCACACATGGCAACTTCAGTTTGCTCTTCCCATCACGCATCAGCTTCTTCACACCAAAGGTGTGGGCCACATTTTGAACTGCAGGAAGACATGTTTATGTAAGCCATTTTGAATAAGATCTTGTCCAGGAAATATATAGGCAAATTGTCTTGGGAAAGGCTGAGAGTAGGAGAAGAACTTGTATGAGTAGTATCTTTTTACACTTTATTTTTTACACCTTTTAATTTTGTTCTCACTGCCCCCCATGCTCATAATTTAATTTTCTGGTAGGAATATTGCTTATCACCGGGGAACCGTAATTTCATTACCTTGGAAGAAGAAGTGAGCAATTGCTTTAAAATACCTTAAAACCTTTCCACTGAAAACAGCAATTTCATGTGTTGTCTGCCCCACACAGCTATTTTCATGTTTATTATACCAGATGGGAGTAGGAGGGAAAGAGCCCAAAACCCAACAACAAAAATTCATATCGTTATAGAGGGAGGAACCCAGGCCAGAGATATAAGCCAGAGAGAATTCACTTCCCTATCTGATTTCTCACCGAGACCCCGGGCTCTTTATAGCAGGGTGTGTTTTGGGCTCAGTCAGTGCTTCTGGCTGCGCAGGTGGCACCTGGCAGTTCTCACCATAGCCCTCCCCTCCTGTTTGTCCAGTGTAACTTTGCCGGACTTGAGCCGTTTGAGCTGAAATTTTCCATTCTGTATCTCCACCTCTCACCTAAGGTGTGGGGAAACTTTCCTTACAATTGTT